GAAGAAGAAGAAGAAGAAGAAGAAGAAGAAGAAGAAGAAGAAGAAGATTAGGAGAAAAGTCCTGCAGCACTAAAATGTGCTCCCATCTTCAACACACAGCAAAAATGTTACAACCTTTCACAAGTACCCTTGGAACTTTTGGAGCATAATTTGTTATTTTTATTGTAAGCTGCCTAGAGGCACATGAGATGGATGGCTATATAAATGAGTTTAATAGATGACACAGAGAGAGAGAATTCTAAAAACTATCCTCATCTCATTGATTTGCTTTTCACAAACTGTCCAGCAGATTTGGAAGTGAGGATAAAATGATAAGAGGAATAGAAGTTCAAAAGGCAGAAAAAACAATAACAAGGACTTCCAAAATTTTAAAATTAAATGGCCAAAATCTTGCTTGTGTGCTCACAAGTTTCTCAGGCAACATTTCCGGGTACTTGGAGGTCAGGTCACATAAAATGTTGGAATGAGTTCACCTGAAATGTTTGCCTCTCCCTTCTTAGCACAGGCTAAGAAATGCAGAGAGCTGCTCTCTGATAGTATTGCTGCACAAATTTGTGTGATTGGCCTGTTTATGTATAACCTGGGAGAGAAGAGGTTTATATTTAGCATCTTGGTTCCTGTCAAGATCTCTTATGCTTTGGGATTTTCTCCTAGCCTGCTTCAGTTGTTTTAATATCAGAACTAGGTTTGAAGAGCCAGAGTATGATAAAGAGGAAGGCTCTAGAATCAGAAAGGATTCAACTCCCTACCCCCACTTAACCCACATACGAGAACGGCAGACGTCTGAATCAATGGTGGCTATATTCCATTAGCTCCTCACAAAAACACATCAGGTCTAACTTGTCCCAAAATGAAGTAATTTACAAAAGCACTCTGGTCATTCATGAATAATATGCCCTATATAATAAACTAGTTTTGGACCTGTTGTTTCTTCCATTCACAATAGCAAGTTATATTAAAGGAGAACATTACCGGTCCCTCCCTTGTCAAGTAGTCCACATTTGTTTCTTAAAACAAAGCTATTTCTTGGTTCAGAGGTTGACTCCATATATTTAAAGATGTATTTTAACCATAGTTTATTGCTGAGGCTAGAATTAGTTTTACAGACTATCAAAATAACCATAGCTTATATAGCTCACACTACTCTGCTACTTACTCAGATACTATTCCAAATATCTTTTATTCTAAAAGGCATTTCTAAAGGTGTTGTGAGCCTGTTTATTCGATTATATAGTATTCACTCATGAGTCAGTAGGGAAATATGTGGTTTTATGGAATCTTTTTGTGCATATAGTCTTTGAGATACTCTGAGGCGAGGGCTGCAAATACATGTTTCTACATTTCTCTAACTGCATTTGTTAGCATTTTGTGACAAATTATTTTGAACTGTGTGAGATATATTTTGTCTGTGTTTTTTAGAGGGTTTGATAAGGATAGTTGTGCATTTTTATGCTGGGAGTGTGTTTTGATTTTGTGAGGTGGATAAATTGCTATGTTCTAATCTATGGTTTGCCATATAAAAGTCAGATCTTCACATTTATCATTTGTTCCAGGAGAAAGGGACACTAAAAGAACCATTGCCAGAAAAGTGCAGAGAGTTGGGGGTGAGGAAGGCTAGATTATCCAGGGTGTTTTTCTTTTTAGTCTCTAGGAGATACTTTTTATTTTTTCTTGCATGATACTTCTCTAGATTGGCATGACATTTGGGTAGAGGATAGAAATAAGGAGGACAAGTTCTAACACAAAGAACAACCATAAAAAGATGAAGACCCAACTTCAAGCCATCGTTTTAAATTATGGCTAATTGTAAAATACCTATCATTGTATATTACCTGAGGTGGGTTTGAACCTTTAAACCAGGGGTGTCCAACCTTGGCAACTTTAAGACTTGTGGACTTCAACTCCCAGAATTCCTCAGCCAGCAAAGCCAGCAAAGAGGAATTCTGGGAGTTGAAGTCCACAAGTCTTAAAGTTGCCAAGGTTGGATACCCCTGCTTTAAACAAAACACAGATAGACTTGCTGTTCTGTGGAAACCAAGCCAAAATAACATTTGGACAGTGTCTTTTTCAATCTCAGCAACTTTAAGACATGTGGAATGTTTCTGAGAGTTTATGTCCACAGATCTGAAAGTTGCTAGGAATGACAAACACGGCTTTAAAGTATGCACATCTTTCCCCAACTAACACAAATGATCCCTGCTGCCCAACTTCCATGTTTTCGATTCTGGGAAGCCTTCCTTCCACAAGCTCCCAGCTGCTCTACATAGAGTCTGGGTGGACCTTCTCACCTCATCACAGGCTTCACATCGAGGCTTGAGGCGCTCAGCATGGTGGCGCCCACAGTAGATTTTGCCCTCCTGGTAGAAGTAGATCAGGTCAACGAGGAGCTCCCGACACGTGGTACAAACAAAGCACTGGGGGTGCCAGCAGGCACCATGCCCAGCTCGACTGGCAAAGACAGCAATGTCCCCTCCACAAATCTGTTTTCCACACTGCCAAGAAAAGAAGAACAAGTCAAAAACTTTAAAAAGCAAATACAATGGATTCAGTTTCCAGAACTCCTTTAGGGTGAAGGAATGTTACACTTTCCAGTTTATAAATATTGAAGGCATTCCACTTTTTGCTTTTTCCCATAGTGAGACCATATTTCTGGCACACATGTTTTTGTTCAGGCATCTTTCTGCCCTTAAGTCAGCAGTTCTCCGTGGGTGATGTATTTTCCAAGCACTCTAACCACATTAGTATACTAAGAATTTTTTTTAAAATCTGGTTGAAGGGAATTCCAAAGATGCTGGCTGGCAACTCTAAAACAGGCATTCCTATGATCTCTGACATTTCATTATATTTGAACACATTTTTTATCACAGGAGCTCTTCTGAACTCATTGAAACCTTTTGAGATTTTATAAGCAAAAGAGAAAATAAAGAATACAACTGAAAAATGTCATTTTCCAAATTTGACAGTCCTACTTAACAAGGCAAGTAAGTATATTCCGAACTGACTTGCTGTGGCTGCTCTTATGTATAATTTGTATTCAGTTTAAAATATACATACTGTATATTTCTGGACTTTTCACTTAGATGAGTTTAAGGAAAGGTAAACGGTATCTTTAGAAACAATAGATGGGCAGCCTCTTTCTTTCAACTGTATTAAGAGATATATGCTAATAGAAGCCAGTGAAACACTAGAGGGCAGACTTGATCTCTACCAGTTTATTTCTTTTTCTGGCTACCACCAGTGTTTTTCAACCTTAACAACTTTAAGATGTGTGGTCTTCAAGAATTCTCCAGCCAGCCACACCCTGCCTTGGCAGTCCACGCTCAGATCCTGACCTAATACTTGAAATAACCCTACTAAAAAAGTCTATGAAAGAGACAAGGCAGAATCAACCTGGAAACAAAGTCATACGAAGAATGGTTGCAGGAATTGGATATGGCCAGTCCAGAGAAAAGAAGGCCTGGGGTGACGTAATTGCAGTATTCCAGTATTTGAGGGGGTGCCACAAAGAAGGGGGGGGTGTCAACTTATTTCCCAAAGCACCAGAAGACAAGACAAGAAACAAAGGATGGAAACTAATCAAGGATAGAAGCAACCTGGAATTAAGGAGAAGTTTCCTAACTGTGAGGACAATTAACCAGTGGAACAACTTGCTTTCAGAAGTTGTAGGGGCTTCATCACTGGAAGTTTTTAAGAAGAGACCGGACAGCCACTTGTCTGAAATGGTATAGAGTCTCCTGCTTGATCAGGGAATTGAAGACCCCCAAGGTTCTCTATTCTAATGGATTGAATCTAGAGTAGTTGACAGACTGAAGCCTGGCCTAGCTTCATGCTGTTAATTAAACTTTCCAACGCACTGCTTTCTGTCAGAAATCAGGACCTAAAATGTAATTCAGAATGCAGCTCTTTACTGTCATATTTATTTTTTGCAAGTTTTTAGTTTTCTAAAATTATGTATTCAGTAAAAACTACAGACAACTTATAACAGAGCAAGTTCTAGGGTTTTTGCCAATGTGTAGTGTCCTATGCTTAATCTGTAAGCAGGTGGATATGCTAAATCTTAAACTTGGCTTAAAAAACTAACTATGCTGACATAACATGCTAGATTTAAAACCAATTAACCTTGTTTATGGCTCAGCATTGATAGCGATGGCGCTCACTTACTACAATAAAGCAACAGCTGGATTTCTACACCCACTGAACCAAAACTATCCGTCCCTACTTTAGTGTTGTCCAAGGAGTCAGGGAAACCTTGCCACTGTCTACCATTCACATGTTTATAATAACAGGTATAATTCAGTGTTTGCCTGCACTGAGAAGTATTCTGTTTTCAATACCAGACTGATGTTTTGTTTTTATTATGTTATTTATTTTATCAATTGTATCATTATTATTTAATATTATGTATTGTTATACATTATGTGTTGTGTTGTGTTATATTCCTTTTCCAAATGTAGCTGTCTTAAAGTGAGTCTTAGCTGTAAATTGATTTCCTGCTGAAAATCACCTCATGGCAGCTGCCATTTGCAGTCAGAGGGGCTGCTTACTGAAAAGACTCAGGAAGAAGAGTGGTCTTTCAGCAGAGGAGACTCAACACAGAATTTGTTCCAGGTTAATGTCCTGTGGCTTCCTTTTTCTTCAAAATAAAAGTGAGCTCTCATTCCTTTTTGCCCACTGCTACTGATAAAATCTCACGTCCAAACATTTTTTGCCCAACAGCAGATACATTTGCACAGGCAAATTTTTGAACTTTTATTAATCATTAATTCAGTTTCATAAATATTAACTCAGTTACGTGAATATTCCAAAGATATAGCATGTAGAGAGATACTTTGGTGTAGTGATTGAGGTATCGAGTTAGAAACAGGGAGATTATGAGTTCTAGTCCTGCCTGAGGCACGAAGTCTTCTGGATGACCTTGGACCAGTCACTTTCTCTTCAGCCCCGGAAGCAGACAAGAGCAAGCCATTTATTATTTTTATTTTATTATTTATTAAATGTATATGCTGCTCATCTCATGGTTCGAGGCAACACTTCCAAAATCTTGCCAAGAAAACTGCAGGGATTTGTCCAGCACTCACCAGGAGTCAATAATGATTCACAGGCACCAAAAAGAAAGCATGAAGAATGCATTAAAAAAATGTTGTGATTCCAGAATTTACGGCAGGCAAAAACTTTTTGGTAGGCAAAAAAGAAACAAGAACAAAAGTGTTCCATTTATGCCTACAGTATGGGTTTGCATGTCACACTAAGCCAAAATCAGACCACACAGTGAGTGGCTCAGCCCAATGTGCAAACTTCAAAAAAGCAGAAACTGTTGCTCATCTAAGAGAGTATTTGATCTTAGCCAGAGGCTTCTCCCAGCCCTGCTCTTCCTATTAACTTTTCATTTGGACTTACAAAAGCTGGAATCTTTTATACACAAATCATGGTTTAAAATACCCCAATCTCCCTCTACCTGAAGACTAAAATCAAGGAAACTCCTTACCATTTGATTATGCCAAAGCAGAAATTACACCTAATATCTCAACTTACACTTGTGGTAAGATGGGAGGTCAATAAGTTTTATAAATAAATAAATATGAATTATCATCAATATAATTATCTCATTGTAAATTATTAACATCTAGAACCAAACCACATCTATTTAAGCACATGAATAAATAGGGCTTCAAACATATGGGCCTGGTAGTCCTAGAACAAGAATCTAGATAAAATCTGATACTCAAAGGCTTAGGCACATGATTGGGAAATCTGCCTTTTTAAGGTTGGTTCCTCATTAGTGACTTAGAGCATCTTCTAGACTGAGTTATCCAACCATTCTTCTGCAAAAATAATAATTATCACACACTTTGTCAACAGCTGGATAACACTGTGAAGATGCTATTGATGACTACTGGAGAAATGGTCAAAACATCCCAAATCCCAGGAATTAACTAAAGCCGGGGGTCACCAAAATTTTAGTCCCACAAAGCCAGGCAACATTTCTGGAATCCACAAATAAGCAAAACAAGAGTAATCAGGTCCAGGCGGCCTTTTGCTAGATAGATACTTCTGAAATAAAGGAACAGGCCTCCAGGGTTCACAGACTGTAATTTACAGGGAAGGGTTGTATTGTAGCTCTTTCCCTTTGTTAAGCACAATTCTTTTTCATGCTACTTAAGAGTTGATAATAAAAGAGGCTGGTTTATACTTTATTAGTTTATAATAAAAGAGACTGAAGCAGCTTCCTTGACTCACTACTTGTATTTGGGGATTAGTGATACTGCCTCAAGATATACAGGAGTATCTGAATGAAACTCTGTGAAGCACCAAAAGCCTTCAAGGAAACTGAAGCAGCTAGTGGTTTCTAACAGCTGCTACAGGCACCTGCACAGTGACCTCTTTTCTTTGGTCACCCTTCCTACAGCTATAGGCGATTTCTTTGACTTAGAATTCCACTGAGGAGCCAGAAAAATGGTGCCACTTCCTTTTCTCCCTTAACTGGAAGAAACAGGAGCAAACTGGCAAATGGCAACACTACAGAGGGAACTAGGATGCTCTTCAGGCATGCTTTTAGCCGCTACCCTAAATGCCAACTCCTGCAACCATTGTAAAGATTCGCACGACATGACAGTTTGTTCACAAAATCCCGTGCAAATGAAACCCATAACAATAGCAAAAGTGGGCAATGAACGGAAGTCCTTCCAATGCAGAATGTTCTGAGAACCACCAGGAATGGGAAGCACAGAAGAGTTCTGGAATCATCCAGAAAGTTCTGTTTCTGATTTAATCAGCCACTCTGAAGTTAAGGCCACTTTCAACATAAAAGACTCAAGGTGCCATGATCAGTCAATAAAGATTTTTACTATGGTTTTAATCAGGACTTTATCACATTAAATGTTGGAAGGAAACTGTGTTTTGAGTATCTGGTGGAAGTGACCAGCTATTGGAGAGAAGTGATAGGTTCTTTTTTTTTTTCATTTCTTATTTTCTCTCCTGCATCATTCCCCCAATCACTTGCTATTTTTCAGATGCTGGGTTTAAAACAGAGTTTCAAGACCCTACTGCCAAAAGTCTAGCTTGAGTCAAATTATTTCTCCCAAGAACTTTTTAAAAAATCATTCTTCTCAAACTATTTTACATTGATAAGGGTATAAAATGAGCCCCCCCACACGCACACCTGTTCACAGATGGCTCCAGTTATGGTGACAGGAAAGAGTCGGACCGTTCCTCGGCCAAGGTTCTCTCGCTTTCGCTGCTGTGAGAATAATTTCAACTCCTTTGCCTCGTCTTCTTCCAGGGAGCTGCAGTACTGAGCCTGGGTAAAGATTTCAAAAGGAAGACAAGATGGTCAGGAAAGGTCAAAAAAAATTTCTCCTGATGACTCTTGGGCAGGGTTTCCATTCCAGGAACACTCAGTACGCCCTGCTCTCAAAATGAAAAATCTGGAATAAAATTACAAAGGTAGGGTAGCTGGCTGATGAATACTTCGTGTAATCCCAGCATTCCTCTTGCTGGTGAACTCCGATTCTCCTTCTGTCCAGCCAACACAGTCAGTTCTGAAGCATGATGAAAACTACAGTCCATCCACATCTGGAGAGCTGTATGTTGGCTAACTAGGCCCCAGCTGAAACAGAGAACCATCCGTTTACCGGGCCAACTTAGACAACACTAGCCTTCAGATTAGAGAAAGAAAGACAGCAGGTTTAGAATAATGTTACACAGATTATTGGTTAAGGACATATGTAGCAAAGAAAAGAAAACACAGAGAGATGGAAGAAAGAGAGGAAGATAAAAAGGGAATGGCCCTAGAAACAGAAAAAAATGGGTAACTCCTTCAATTGAATGCAAGCATTCAGCCCCAAACATACTCCTTCTGAGAGAATGAAGATGTCAGCAGAAAAAAAGGGAGATTTTACAGCCTTTGATTTGTACATGCAGACGCCAAGGGAACACACTCACTGCTGGCAAATGAACAATTCCAGCGAGCGAAACCAGCCCAGGTCAGGGTAGCGACTAACTAGCCATAAATCATAGGAACAGACAGCACCAGTCTACCCTATCAGGCCCCAGGGATCTGGTAGCCCAGAAGATAAAAGAAATCAATTAAATCTTGCCCAGGGAAATTTTTATATTTTACATCAGTCTATAACTGAGAACGGTGGTTGCCCACAAGTATGGGAAAGCCATTAACTTACTGACCTTGTGTAAACAAATCAATTCCTACTCCCTAGGAGGCAAGGAATGTCCAGGGAGAGCTCACACAGACTTGGGACTCTGGAGGTTGATCAGAAAACTACATCAAAGAGGGCCCCTTCTCAAGGAAGCACTGAGCCTAATGATTAATTTACCTCCTTGAAAGTTAAAGAGGGTGGAGAAAAGAGATTTAGCACAGAAATCCTTCATCTATTTACAGTTTGAAACTGGCAACCCTCTACCAGGTTTTTTTTTTTTTTTTCAAAACTCTGAGATGCCTGAGGACAGTTTATTTGAACAATCCGTACTCCCACACCCTTTCTTCAGTGCATGCTACGTGAGCATATTTTTCTTCACTGCCTTTTGTCCACTTGTCAACAGTCCAACAGCTGGAAGGAGACCTGAAATAGATCTTAGCATTATATTTTAACTAATTCATTTTGCTACCTCTGGTTAAAAAATGGTGATCCACCTAAGTACAGGAGATACCAAGTTATACTTCAGAAGTCCTTCCGTGTAAAGGGTCTCAGGCAGTTAATTACCCAATCTCGTCTTTTAAAAGATACATACTTTCTCTATTTTATTTCTCACAGTTACAGTTATTATTGGGAAACAACGTTTGGTCCTTTCAATCTGCAACCCCTTCAAAGTGCAGAAAACTTAGAACAAAACAGAGCATTCTAATGTTTTTAATTTTAAAAATGTCAGGTTTCTAATTCTTATTTAAATCGTTGACCAAAACATCGTGAAAACTTCAGAGATTTGTTGGTGGTGGTGGTCCCCATTCCTTTACATACGGCAAAAGCAGAATAACAATGATAAATAACAATACCAACCTCATCCAAGTAATCGTAATCATTACATCAGTACAGTATTTCCTGGTGAGATATTTTGAAAAGGCACATATAGTAGATGTTATGCACTGCTAGGCTAATGGAGGTCACAGATTACAAGAATAATTATGAATGCCTTTTTGGGGTGATTATTGGTCCTGCCACCTGTGGTAGATTAAGCCCAATTATTTAGACTGCAAACAGAGAAAAGGACTGTGTAAACTGCCTTCAGTGCTGATAACGGCCAGTGACTGACAACCCAGCAGGTGAGAAGGCAAAGAAACTAATCTAGCAAAATACACAAGATTGATCTTGAGGAAATTCCTTTCTGATTCAGAGGGTGGCAATAATTTTAACCCTTTAGGCTTCCCATTGTGTGCACGCACCAAGAACAACCAGGAACTCTGCAAGCACACTCCCTTTCTAAATTGATGATTGGTAGAAGCCTGGGGAAGATGGATTGTGATCTGGCAGGATTAGTAAAAAAAACTTCCAGAGGACATAATAGTGTTCTGAAGAAAATAGCGGAAGACCGCAATGAAGAGCCAGCTAATAGACTAGCTCTTCAATAATTCCTCTCTGGACAAGAAATTGCCCACAAGTGCTCCAAACAGCTGTTTCTTGTGATGGGGATCTCTGGGAGATTTAGAGTGCTGGGAGACGAGGGAAGAGCCATCTTTCTCAAATTGCAGCCGCCACCTTTGAAAGGGCACTAAATTTACATACTTCCTTTTCCAATAAACTTTCAGAAATTGCTTCTGAACTGCTTTTGAGATCTTTAAATCAACAGGTTTGATAACACTGGATGAATTTTGTTCAATCCTTTGCAAAAGAAGTTTTAACTATAAATTTAAGAACTTAATTTTTTTTAAATAAACAGCAAAGGGATGATTAAAATTTTGATTTTCACAAGCTACAAACTGACCACGGGTCCAGGTAAAATTGAAAACTAGAGGGAATTAAAGATTACAGTAAAAGGAGATGAACACATCAATTCAATGTACAAATACAGAATGAAGCAAAATATTTTAACATTGGACATATTCAAGGATATTTTTGAACAATGGACCTAAAAGTTAATTTTAATAGCATCTGTCTCTATAGATAAACTGTGTTTAAAAAATGTTATGGCAGAGGAACAAGTTCTACCTGACAAGATCAAGTCTGGGATGGAAAAAGATGTTACACTGTGTACACAAAAGAAACTGGCTGATGTCTTAATATTTAAAGGGAATATACAAACAACAAACCAAGAAACTGACCTGGGTAATTTTCCTTTATTTGATTTGAAAAAGAGGCTTGTTAACATTTTGAAAAGAAAAAATGAAACAAAATCAAACTTATGGCATTATTTGAAGGAACTAAAGATTAAAATTGTTAAAGGTTAATAAAAGGAAGGTATCTAAAGTTGGTTCAAAGTTAAAATTGATATGTAACCTTTATGGACTTTTGCTGACAGCAGGACTGGACTGCTTTATGGATTCGTTTCTTGATAAGAAATGGCATATGGAAAGAAGAGATCATTTGATGTATTTTAAGAGAAGGTGATAAGTTATTAAAATTGTTTATACTTGTGATTAAAGTGGGAAGTTAACTCCCTTTATTTTCTTTTTCATTAATATATTCTTATTTGTAGAATCTCTAGATTGGCTTCAGTTTCCCCACCTCACACCACATATTCCACCATATTTATTACCTAAAACATGTATTCATTGTAGCAGAACAATCACTAGAAAAATCCAGGACTTAAGGCTTTTACTGTTCACATTTTGTAACTGAAAACACCCATATATTCATACCACCAATACAGTATCAATTCTTTTGAGGTAGTCTAAAGTCACTGGAGGGAAAATGAAATCAATTGTCCCATGTGGTAAAGCTTAAATTCTAGCTTTGGGCTGCTTATCCATTTTATGGTATACACTTATTATCTCTGTTAATACCAATAATACATACTTTTTAAGAAGCCACAAAAGAAATATTTTTTAAAGTATGGTGCAAATATAAGCCAACTCCTCACAGACTGGATCCCTGAGATAATTAGAAAAAACTTTGTATTTTTTTTTCTAAAAAACCAATGGGAATCTAAAGTACAACTCAAATAGACATTGGAAATCAAAGTTGGAGGGTCACAGTAAACAACCCAAGTGGAAGAGCAGGTGGAAGGCCATTTTGTGAAGTATGTAAGCTCCAGACTTTTATGGTGATGGAGCAATCAAAACTAGCCCGGTGAAGCTGCCCTATAGGTCATGGGAAACTAATGCTGATTGCAGATACTGGCTACAGTGCTCTCACAACCCACTCCTGGGTTGGGTTGGGAAGGATACTATACTAAAATTTCTGTACTATCAGTAAAACTGCCATACTGATTCAGAAGGAAAAATTGCAGCTTTAGAAATAACAAAAGCATCCTAAATGAGGAATGCTGAGTACTTCTCAAAACTTTTTCAAACTTTTTCTTCTCAAAACACTGCAAACAAATATATGAAAGAAGAGTGAATGAGCTGAAGGAAGCCTGAAAAACTCATGGTTAGATGAAGTTGATGAGATCCTCAAGAAATGAGAAATTTAGAGGGCGAAAAAAAGCAACATATGAAATGCTATCTTGAACATGGTGGAAGGAAGGATCGAAAGATATGGATATACTTAATACTATCAGTATAAACTAAACTCAGCTGTTGTTTTGTTTAAAGTCTTATTCACATTTTGTACTTTGCATGATAATTTGACCAGCCTGAAAGAGACAGATTGATAGATATATATGTTTGTGCATACTTCTCTCTAAAACACAATTAAGAAATATTTCTACCCTGATTATCTACTTAAAAAACACTTCAATGCACCATTACAAAGCAAGCAGCAATAAAACAGTAGGAAAAATGGGTATCAAATGCTCTCAGGCTATGTTTCCAAAAGCAGTTTAAAAACAGTTAAAGAAGGAAGACGCCAAAGTACAGCATAATGGAGGAAAGGTTCTGAAGCTTTTTTCCTACTAACAGGAAAATGTGTTGATTGGAGACCCTTAACATGGCTTCCTTTTCACATATTTATGCAGTATTACAATCCCATTTACAGTTTAAGTAGAGACAGTGATTGGGAAAGACATCCAGTGAGTTTCATGAATGAGGATGAACTTGAATCTGGATCTTAACCAGGGGTCTATGACAATTTGCCATAGCCTACTAGCCTCAGCCAATTCACTGCAGGAAAACTGCCATGACCAACTCGCTGAGGGATAAGAGTTACACTAATATCAAAGAAATGGTGGAATAGAATCATTAAAGAAAGTATGCAAAAGGAGGGACAAAATGAAATGAGAATCACAAAAATTAAAATATTTTTTATTTAGTTTAAATAAATTGAATTGTTCAATTGTCCTGTGGCAAGTTATCCTGTGGTGAGTTAGCTAGGGTGAATTGCCCTGTGGTGAGTTAGTGATGGTGAGTTGGTCGCGGTGAGTTCGCTGCAGCAAGTTATTCCATTCTGCTTAATCAGCACACTAGCAACAAAGGACAGTATTCCTGTATCTCTCATTATTTAGAAATGGGATTCTCGACATTTATAGTTTTTGCAAGAAAAGATAGTTCCTGTTGAAATTCTTGCTTCCCCACAATTAATGGAAGAGTCCTGAACTTTTGTATCTGGCTACATATATCAAATATTGAACTCTTAAGAAAACAGCTTTCTATAGGAAATAATCACTTAACTCCATCATTCCCCACCCCCACCCCCATTCCTTCCTTCCTATTCAATAATAATAATATTCCCTCCTCACCTCACTGTCATGAGGTGGAAGCTGGTGCAACAGCTGACGAATGCGGTACCGTTCTCCAGGACTGTTGACATAAGGGACTTTGTCTTCTGGGAGGCAGCTGAAGAACTGATAGACCTGAAGGTAAAAAGCACTATTTGTGAATTTTGAAGGAGGAAACGAGAGAAGAGGGCCAAGAACTGAGTTCACAGTAGTTGCATCCAGTGCTCAGTGGGTCTAGCAAAAAGTTTCTCCATTTCTCTACAGATCTCTCAGGAAGCCCACACAAAACTAAATCCCTCAAACAAGTTAGGTCAGGGGTGTCAAACTCAAGGCCCGTGGGGCGTGGGCAAGATCCGACCTATGGGGCCAGCCTGGAAATATCAAAGGACTGGCCCATGGTGCCTTTGCTGGCCAAAACAGTGCCTCTGTGTGGCGCGTTTTTGGCTGGCAGAGTGCTGCAGGAGGCCATGAAGGCTAGAAATGAGGGATGGGGGCGCCCCTCCCCCCCGTGACCCATTTTGGCCAGCAGGGTGCTGCTGGAGGCACCCGTCTCCCTCCAAGCTCCCCTCCCCACTCCTGCCGGCCTGCAGAGAATTACAATGCTGATCTGACCCTTGAAGAAATCCAGTTTGACATCCCTGAGTTAGATCATCCCAGTTAGGTCTCAAAATGCTGACAGAATGCCCTGGGCATATGCAGTAATCCTCTGGAAGTAAAAGTGTCCCCTGCAAATATATTATTATAAATATCATATGTCTTTTTCAAGACAGGAACTCCATAGTTATACAAATCATTCTATCCGTAAGAATAGGTTGCAGGATCAAAGACCATTAACTCAAGGGCAGGTGGCATGTTTGGTCTGTAGAATGTTCCAAGTTGTAGGTTTAGGTCTAGGTCTAGGTTTACCAGATATAAGAGGCTCAAGTAGCAATGTTGAGGAAAAACATGGACATCACAAACACCCTGTGAGTCAATGGGGCCTGATTCCGCACCACTTTTATTTTATAGTTCCTAGAATGTTTCCACCGTGACTGCCCAAAATCAGCACTTTTCCTGGCGTTCTGAGATATATTTGGTGTTAAAACAGGCTTATGGCAATGTCATATGGCCCCACTCAGAAAACTTACCCAGTTCAGCCCTTGTGCCCTCTAAAACAGAAAATTGAATCCCCTACCAATCAAATGTTTTATCCCTGAGGAACAGCAAACTATAAAACCTTTCTGTTTGCTACAAGATCAAGCTTTCTTCCTATTATATCATTCAAAGTAAAGGTGCCCCAATCTGGTCTACTGAATTCAACATGGAATTTCTCCCACCAATCACCTCTACTCATAATAATAAACCAGTGGTACAAACACACACAAACACACACAAAATACAAATTTCCATTTTGCGATATAAATTCAGTTCTGTCCACCATGATGGGTAGAAGGCAGGAAAATTTTATTTTAGTAAATACTATCCAAATGAGCCCTCAAGACAACAGTGAAGTCCATTCAGCTGGACTGGACTGAAACAGCCCTCCATAACATCACTACTATAAATTCAACAAACAAACAAATAAATATTATTCCCAGATTCAACTCTCATTTCAGTGGATTTTTTCAGAAAAACACTTTCTTGTGGTCTAACATACTGGCCTTACAGGGTTCTCCAGATAATTTACAGGATAAAAAGATAAATATGTTCTGTAATAAAAAGTCTAGTAACAAACAGCAGAAAGTACTATAAATTATTCTCTTTAATCAGTTTAAAACAAGAGTTTACTCATCAGATTACAAGCAGCCTGGCTTTACTGGAAGGATTAGGTGACACAATACACACACGTACACCCAAAAAGGTAGTTACTGCTTTGTAATTAAAATAATTCTATCCCATTTAAACTTCCTGCCTTCTTCTTTAGAAAAACACCCCATTTTATCAAGGCCAGCATCAGTACAGACACATACCTTAAAAAAACAACCATGAGTACCCCTGCATGAAGATTTCAGTAAGATTCAAAACCTTGATACCCAGGAATCAGTTAATCCAATAAAATACTGAAATCTTGCTAAGATTTCCTTCCCTCTTTTAGAAGAATGGAATAACAGGGTTGAAAGGTCTTCTAGTGTAGGGCTCTCCAACCTTGGCTACTTTAAGGCTTGTGGACTTCAACTCCCAGCAAAGCTGGCTGAGGAATTCTGGGAGTTGAAGTCCACAAGTCTTAAAGTAGCCAAGGTTGGAGACCCCTAGACCAGCCAACCATCTGCTCAAGCAGGAGACTCTATACCATTCCGGACAAATGGCTGTCCAATCACTTCTTGAAAACCTCCAGTTTTATATCAAGAAAAATTAATGACACTACAATAAGAGAGCAATATGTGACATAGCCATTTAAAAGTGATTACAATCATCTGAAAGAAGTGGAAAAAGAAAGACAGCAAATAATTGGGGATTTGAGCAAGGAGCAAGAATGAGAAGATAGAAAAGGTATGTTTGGGGGAGGATTCAGTAGTAAGGCTTCCCCCAAACACATCTTTATCTTCAATCATTTGCTGTCTTTCTTCCTCCATTTCTTTCAAAGAAAGCAAACCAAGACGTTCAAGGCTACGAATCTATACTAACGACTGCAGCACTGTGGAACGGTCATATCTTCTCCCACAGAACACTGGGAGATGTAGTTCAAGACAAAACTGACAAGGCAAATATGTGTAAAAATGTTCAGAACAACTCCCAGAAATCTTTGGAAAAAGCCAGGACTGGCACCAAACTCAGGGACTAAACAAATGGGGGGGGGGGGGGGCTAAAAATAGATTGCACCAAAAATGCATGCAACCTTCTCCTTCCTTGCTGCAGGTTGGGTAGATTCTCAAGAAATGCCAATAGCATCACCTGTTCAGGCTTGAGTCCTGGAGGTACCCAGGCATATTCCTCCGAAGCACAGCCAGAATCATCATCTGAGATGGAGTGACGCTGGAAGTCAGAAATGAGGCGGCACATCATCCTTTCCAAGTCGACAGGGGCCATGCGTACCGCATGCTCTTCCCGGGGACACTTGCAGTGTTGGCAGATCTTCCTACACAGGAAGGAAAATGCTTATAGTGACCTATGGAAGAGCCAAGAGAAGCTGAAAGAAACAAAAGATCTCACAGAATTCTGTTACCTGCCAATGATTTAAAAAAAAAAAAACATTAGTAAGCATAGTTCCTCAAGACTTTACCTATAAACCCTCTGATTGGACCCTGACTAATATTAAATTGGACCCATCAACCTCTATTTAGATACATTCATTTTTAATTACAGACACAGAAATCTAGAATTATTAACTTAATAACTAGCTGGCAAACCACAAGATCACATTCAACCAGTTTTAAGGTGGAAAACAAGATAGTGCGAGAAATCAAAAAATGAAACGAACCCAAAATATAGTAATAAATAGATAGCTGATTAAAAATAAAACACTAAGCTTTTCTAAACCAATATAAAGTTCTTATATGTTATTATTGCTACTGCTATAGCTATCCCATCCCTTAAACTAAATTCTGAAAGTAACTTATATACAAATGTCTACAACTGAATAGCAGTGTAATCTATAAAGCGGATTTTTGTGTATATTATGTTTATTTGCATTCTGACAACAAATAAGGATCACTCCAGTTCCCCAAACTTTATAACAAAGACAATAAGCAGAGTGCAACAGCCTGTGTTTAGCCTTCACAGTGGGGTTATCACCAGTTCAATAGAGATTATAGTACAGTTGGTGATTGGTGAAGCAATTCTCAAGCTTTCCTTCCCACAGACTGGGTGACAAAAGCCAAGGGAAAAAGGCAATCAGTGGTGAAGCAAGAGAACGGATGTGAATGTAGAAATGCAGAGGGACAACTTGGGCTATAACATGGAGACTATTTTGAAGAATGGGGTGTATAGTGAATAATGGAGAGAGATACAATAAAAATATTTTTCAATTGCACTATTTTTCTGCTTTCATGCAGATTTTTATTCAGAAAAGAAAATGGTCAGTGTTTGGAAAAGAAAAAAAAAGAACTGAATCCAGAAAAGTTATGTTTGAAAGAGAAAAATGAGATGAATGTGAAAAGAGCAATGAGAAACAAATGAAAGCTATATATGAATGCTGGCGGAGGGTGGGGGGAGGAAGCATGGCACTATAACAACTGGAGAACAAAAGATGAAGGGCTGAGACAATGTTTTAATTCATTTATCTGAAATTCTATTTGGATAGCATCACAGCAACATCTGCAGGATCCCATGGCTTTTATCAGTCTAATCCCTCTCCCCAC